CAAACTATAGTAGTAAAGTTTTTGTCCTTCGAGACAGGCCAAGGCGTCTAATTGGCCATACTGCCAGATCTTAGATTGTAATTTTTCTTCAATAGTTTAGTTTTCTGACATTTTTTCTCGGCAAATCGTAGTATGTTTACGGTGGCCATCTTGATCTCAAGATTTATTCAATTTTAAATAGTCATTAGGTATACTTACCTACTTAAATGATTATATTGATATTGTTTTTTAAGTAGTAGAGCTCCTTGTGAAAATGTTCGTCCAGGGAAGTACATGAATGTACCTACACCAGGGATGTACCTTAGCTATTCGCTGCCGCCAAGTAGTAATGTTTGCATTTTGGAAGGGTAAGGGTGCTGGTGAAATTACAGGCACATGGGACTTATTAACTTACGTCTCTGGGTGACGGGTGCAGTGGCAGCGCCCCTGAGATCTTTGCGATTTAAAGCTCTGAGTGGCATTACAACTGTTATGGATAGGCGTGTCGCTTACCACCATGCGTACGACTTGTTCGTTTGTTTTTATTTATTATTTATTTATGTGTTGAGCATTGGCTATAGAGCTATCAGCTTAAACAAGCAACAAAGGATTAAGAAACTTAAACGTAATAATACTTAGAATTAAAAATTAATTTGTGAAAAATTGTACCTACAAAAACCCGCCGTTTTTTCCCGTCACTTTAAAAAAAAATTAATATGTCTTTGGCAAACCCATCGGGCTAAACATGAAGTTTAATTATGTTTCTGTAAATATGGCCGCCACAAAGAGGATAGGCAATTTGAGGCGGCGTGTGTGGATTGACTCAGGATTCCTTAAAAATGGCCGATACGGGTATTTTAGTTCGAGATTCGTATAATTTCGCGTTTTAATCTTCGATTAAGGCACAATAGCACTATCCTATTCCACTTTAAACTATATTTCACAAAATAATTGAAAGTCAAAATAAAAACCACACTTTTTCCTCCAAAAGTTCCAGAGCGAATAGGGGATCACTTGTTATTATAAAAAAATAATTTCCGATAAGGAAAAGGCAAAGGTTTATACCATACCATACAGGCAAGCCTTGGTGATTTTTTTTTTGCTAGTATTGGGTATATAGGCATAAGCACAAGTCATCGGTCCATTATATTTTATATTATACTTAGGGAAAAATCTCAAAGTACTTTCTACTTCTGTTTCATAATTCTCATGTCATATTCTGAAAAACGATTTCATTACCCCACATAAAATAATTTACAAAAGGAGTTAGATTGGTAGAGAGGATTGATGAACTGCTGGGGACTGTGTTTGGATTGTTTATAGCTACATACAGCAATGAACAATTACACACAACAAGCAAACGAATACCAACCCCGTTTGATTAACAATCTTGTTACCAAAATTCGCACCTTTGTTGGTATAATAATGTCATATCTTGAAAATGACATCTAATAAAAATAGAGGTTTAAAGACTATGCGAATTAAATTAGTTGATAACATTATACATAATTTATTTCATGAAGTACCTACGTTTTATGTAACGACTTCATAAATGTGGCTTCATTAGATCAATGATACGAATTAAGCGTATTTCTGTAATAAAAAATAAACAATGGAGTATAAAATCAAGATAAATATATTAATATAAAACATAAATTCACAGAATAAATTAAGTACCTACTGAAGTAAAAACGTAAAATGTTTGATATAGTTCAGTGATAAGGCGCTAACTCAGCATATAAGTAAGTTCCTTAAGGCGCTCATTTTCAGGGCCAAAGGGACTAACTTTAGAAATAATTTATAAACAAAAAATAAGAAATATGTGTAAAGTTATTATTAAGTAAGTAACCTGTTTGACATGTAAATGCGATTTTTAATAAAAGAACGTAAAAATTCAGGAAGAGTATCAAAAAAGTGATTACAGGGAAATTAATTACATAAATAAAACACTAGCACCAACTGAGTTAAGTTGGGCGTAGCCGCGTAACAAAAGAAAAAATCTGATTAACTCATATGAGGCAAGATAAAGCTAAATGATATTTAAAATGATTGGATAACAGCAAAAAAAAAAAATTCAATGGCTCCATCGGTTTCATTCTATAACTCCAACCTTTGACAAATGTGAACGTCAACTGTGGAAAAATCTCCAGAAAAATATTTATTTTTCCGAAAAATATATTTTTTCAAAATGGAAACTTTTTCATTACCCAGTACTACACATTAAGTGGCCATTAACTTAAAAAAAATCACAAAAATTAACAATTGTAGGTACCTAATTATGCGTGAAAATCAGTTGCGAATAACTTTTTTGCCTTACATAGAGGTTTAGTCACTCTTTGAAATAAAATTTTCCTTTTATTACACCCTACATTGCCACACGCTTATATATTCTTAGCTCTTGATTGTTAACTTTAAATCTTTGAGTCACAATCTAAACAGTGGTCAGCCAAATTAGTCTTTGCCCGTATGGTTTTGGTAGTGCGAACGCGTTTATGGTGAGCTTGCCTTGATTCATAAGGCAGGCCGTGCCTTAAAGGGAGAGCTCTGAGCTTGAAAATAGCTTGAGAAAGTTAATGACGATGACACTCGCCTGCTCTGGATTATTGCACTGCAATTGTGTTGGTTGTGTAGCTTTAATATAGGAGTTATGTAAGTTACTCATAAGGTTGTTAACAGATTGACTGCATGTTTGCATTTAATGCGTGAAGTCGTAATCAACTGCATGCAGTCGATCTCGGCTGCATACAGTTAATGAGTGAAGTCATTATTAGCTTCATGCAGTCGAGGTCTCGGATAACGACTTAACGCATTAACTGTATGTAGTCGAAACCGACTTCATACAGCTAAGATCGACTGCATGCAGTTAATGCGTGAAGTCAATCTGTTAGCAGCCTTATTGTTACTTAATGGTATTCTTTTTTAACCGACTTCAAAAAAGGAGGAGATTCTCAATTGGTAGTATAATATACATATGTATACTACATATATTCATATATACGTATATTCATGTATGTAGTATGTTTTTTTTTGTATGTATGTTTCGCAATAACTCCGGTATTTGTGAACCGATTTTCATGATTCTTTTTTTGTTGGAAAGAGGGTACCTATCTCCATAGTTAATTTTGAAGCAAATCATCTACCTCTAAGGGCGACTGTTCTCGCATGAAGATTCATTTTTATAAGTAGCGCCTAAATTTTATTATAAGCAGCAATTATTTTAATGGTTGATTTTGTTATTCTCCAATTCAAGGCGTTTTTCTCTCTCGATATACTTTGAGAAGTGAGGACCGATTTTTATTATATTTTAATGGCGAACTAGGGGATGAATGGGTTTGCTCACTACCCGGTAACCGATTTCAATAAAACATGGTAATTATATGTAATTACTTTTGAGGTCGGTTTTTTAGTACTCTGTACTGAGATTATTTACTTTCATTAATCATATGCTACGAATCACGAACCACTGACTGGTCACCTGATTCCCTAGTTAATTAACTCGACTATGAGACAAAAATTAAAAAACTTTAGGGGGCAATGTCTCCAAAGTTACCAAAATGCAAATGCGTTGGTTAAGACAAGGACAAGGACATTTTTGCACAGTAAACCAAATTTGAAAATAAAAACAAACTGAATTAATCTTATTGCAAATAATGGGGCTATTTTTATATAAATATAATATTTAGTCAATCTCTTATTACCGATTCAGTAATTTTTGAACTTTCAATTCGAGTTTTCTCAATTCCACCATTTTTGGGTTACGACAGTATTTGGTTTGATGTTCAGTTTGTTCCGATCTACACCTATCGAACTTTAATAGAAAATAATTGTAACATTTTTTATAAAAAAAAACCTGCCTACCTACCTTAAAAGTTAGCTCCGTTTTCGCAGTGCTCAACGATAACTGAAATGCACAATATGGAAGTCCTCGTCAAAACGAATAATATGAGCCCAAGGTAGCTGCTGTACATTAGTGAGAAGTTCCTCTCATCTGTCTACCATTTCCATTATAAAACCATCTCGAGGTCACCGTAACATTTTGCTTTCATTGGAATTACATCTATGTGCCAGGTTTCATTGAAATCGATTCACGGAAAGTGGGTTAAATTCAATAAACTGAATGCATACCCTAATTTGCCACCCTTGAAGGTGAATATCTTCTTCAAATCTGATTGGGACCCTCTTGTCAAAAAAAAAAAGAATCATCGAAATTAGGTCACGAATGTCGGAGTAATTTCGTAACATACACACACAAACATGGTTTTTTTAATAAAAAAAACGAACTAAAAAGTTCGTGGAATTACAACCATTTGCCAAGTTTTATGGAAATCGGTTACCGGAATCCCCTAGTTTGCCGCCCTTCAATCATCAATCAATCAATCAGCCTATTGCAGTCCACTGCTGGACATAAGCCTCCCCAAGTGTACGCCATAGTGCTCGATCACCCGTTTTCTGCATCCAACCACTACCCGCGGCCTTCTTCAGATCGTCGGTCCATCTTGCAGGGGGACGTCCTACGTTACGTTTGTCGAGACGTGGTCTCCACTAGCGAACCCGTCTACTCCATCGCTCATCGGTTCTGCGACAGATGTGGCCAGCCCACTGCCACTTCAGCTTGCTACATTTCTGGACGATGTCTACAACTTTAGTCTTATGACGGATAACTTCGTTCCGGATTTGTCCCTTAACGAGATACCCAGCATAGATCTTTCCATAGCTCGCTGTGCGACGTGTAGAACTCAGAACCTCCTCCTTTTTTAAATAAAAACATAATAAATATATAATACACATATCAAAGCAAGTCCTTCGGCCAACCGAAACCAAAACACTTCTTTAAATAACTTTCCGTGTTTGCATAGCTAAAGTACTAGAACAAACCACTTCTGGCGTAAATTGCATTCAACCATAATTTTCGGTGAAAATCCGTGAAAATCTCTACGTCCATATATCCCCGTATCCAGTCGAGATAATTTGCCTGGTAGCGTGCTACAAATTTGCCTGCGCGTTATTTCTCTGAGTGCGCCCGGCTACGGCACACGCTCCCGTAGTTTCCGTACATTGTAGGTAGTTTCAAGCTCGTTACATTTTAGGACAAATAGTAGGTTTGAAAGTTCGACGTAGTGCTTTAGATTTTGTGTTACGTTGTTAAAACCTGATTGTCAACTAATTAAAGGTATGTATATGGTGCATTTTTGTGTTAAACTGTTTACAGTATAATGTGTAAAACACTCTTTAGTTTAGTGCCTCGGGAGTTTTGATCTATTGCTAATTATTTGTGCAATATCAAGTCATGTACGTTCCACTGCTGGGCAGGGGTCTTTTTATAACATCAAGTGACGGGACATAGCAGTTGCAGTGCCACTCAGAGCCTTAATCGCAAAGATATGAGGGGCACTGCCACCACGTCTGTCACCCTGAGACATAGGTAAATTGACAAATCCCATGTGCCAGTAATATTCACACTTTAAAACCGGAACGCAGTACCTAATGCTCACATTACTGCGGCAGAAATAGATCTAGTGTAATAGAAATAGGTAAGGTCTTCATGCAGGTCAGTAATCAAATAAGTTGGTAAAAATGTGGTAGATTATGGACCGAGAGCCTGTGAAAACGGAAACTTTGACGGAGTCAGACGGGGGACTTTCATATTTTCTATTAAAAGTTCGATAGGTGTAGAGATTAATAAGTGTGATATAGCACAACTTGGTTGATAATTATAAGTTTCATTGTGGAGAAGGCTCAAAGCGATTTCTGTGGAAATGGAATAGGCAGAATACACATCCTTGGTGTAACAAGGCCATATCTGCATATCTGCAGAGGTTTAAATATTGTACAAACAAAATTTATGTGATAAGAGCTCTTTTGACGTATGATCTGTCGTTGCTCTATATATTTATCTAAACTGCAAGTAATTAATACATATATATAGAGTAAGAAATACCTCCCTCCGAAAATGTTGTATTGTTTTATTTTATATTTTTGATGTGTAACTAGTAATTACTTTAGTACCTATTTACAAGTTTGTAAGTAAAAATATTACAACACAAATATTCTTTGTTGCACAACACAATATATAGGACAAATACATAACTTATTGACTTATTGATAGATAGCAATCTCTTCCAGGCAATCTTCGGTTACAGGATATACTTAAAATAAAAACTCCAATTCGTAAAGAAAACAAAAATTTTCAAGTGAAATAGTTAAATAAAAAAAAATGTAATATGCTCACATAAATTAAAAGTACAATAAAAACACATCACTATTTTGTTTTTATTTTTACCTTTCATTTCTTTGCTTTTTGTTGCCTTATAGTTTCTATATGTAAAGTATAAAAAATCTTTCCTTTATGTAAAGGTATAAGAAAGCCTGAGTATGCCTTTTCGATCTCTAATCATTATTATTTATGATACAGCAGCATATTAAACTCAAACAATGTAGGTACTTAGTTTGAAAATCTTATCTCCATTTACGACCTGTGAGACTAATAAAACATTTTACCCAATAAGCGTCCAGCGCTTAAATCAATTTAGGAAATGAACTCTCCTAACTTCTTCCTCATTCTGGGTGTTCTTGGGCATCAGGTGCTAATTTTGATACTTAGTGTAGGTAGGATTCACGTAATTGGTGTGCTTGTATATCAATTTTATTTATAGTCAAGTCAATGTCAAATGATCTTTGTTTCATAGGTAAGCAAATTACACTTGAAATCGTCATACTGATTAAACTCTACTGCTCATTCGTAAGTAGAGACGTTCATCCATCGTTGACGGTTAACCAGTCCATCAACTAGTTAAATTCGTCAACTAGTCGATCGAGCAACTTAGGTTGATTTTCGTTTTATGGACGATTAAAGAAACGGTTAACTGAATCAACTAAGTAGGCAGGTATTGAGAATATGAAGTATTGTATTGGAAATTAACTATTTTTTTCCGGAACCGTAACCAGATGTAAAAAATTTTGGTTTATTTTGGAAAAAAAATTAATCCGTAAAAATTGTCTCATTTCCAATGTTTAGCAATCACAAAAACCTAATGAAGGTATTATGAGTAATTGTACATATTTTATACACCTTATGTTGCATTGTAACTATCAATCAATCAACAAATTATTGTTAATTCAATTAACAATCCGTAAAAAAACGTAACGCAACGTTGCACGCAATTTATCACACGAACTACTAATAAAAACATAATTTCAAAACATAGGTAAACAAACCGCCGAAACATGCACCCGTACTAATAAGTAAGGGAATCCGCCTTACGAATCGTAAGACAGATTCCCCTGAGAAGGATGAGCAAGAAACTCTAGGGGTTGCTCTTTGTAAATACAAACTTGTATACATTTATCACAATATTTAATTTTTAAACATCTAAGATCGAGAATACCTGAAAGAGTTAAACGGGTTATTAACACGGATTTTTGTCATGCAAGCACGCAGAAGTTGTCCTGAAGAAATAACCTTTAGTATAAAGTTTTTGTTTTACAATAATTTTAAGCCTCATAAATGGCAAATTTTGAATATCAATCGGAATCTTAGTGTAGAAGCAAAATATATACAAGAAAAATACTTTGTCCCTTAAATGAATTTGAGACTTTATGACGACGATCGTCAAGAACAGCTAGTTTATTTTTATTCCTCGTATTAATGTTATGTCGGTCACTATTTTTCATAATAAAAAATAATATTTTTTCCTAACATCAAATAACATTTTAATAAATGTGCTGTAACGTTTTTATAAAATTAAGTGTCGGTTTATTATAGATTATGCACCCAGTTTTAAGATTTTGCAGAAAAAATTGAAAATTCAGCTCCTGATTTTCGTTGATGTAACAATTCTTGACTGACCACATAAAATAAATTAAAAAAGTTATGAGTTATAGCCTAGTTCACATAACGCTTACCTCCCATATGTAGTCCTGGGACTCCTGGGTTCGATTCCCTTTGTTTGTGTGTGTTTTAATTTTTTTTGTATGTATGTTACACGATAACTAACAAATTTGCGAACCGATTTTGATGATTCTTTTTTTGTTGGAAAGAGGGTACCCAGTATTGAAACCATTTAAATTTGGAGAAAATATTAATATTTTTTTAGTACTCTGTACTGAGGTTATTCTAATCATGTGTAGTCATTTGGTTATTATACAGATGGAGCATATCACGCTACTAAGTATTCCTTGCTGGAGGCGATATTGGAACAAAAGTGTAGTGTGATGTGGTGCTGTTGAATGTACATGTATCAATAAAAAAAATACAGGAATAACAAAAGTGGATAGCTTAAATAATTTCTAAGCCTGAACCTAGCTATGTTTGATTAAATGCGTGAAATTGGATCCCCGCGTCAGTGTACTGTGTCAACAATTCCGCCTTATGTTTGTTTATGCTTATAAGTTTAGTCCGTGCCCGACGCCCTGAGAGTCTTCTGAGATCACATTCAGTCTATTAAACTTTTGGATATGATTTTATAGAAAGAAAGGCCGCTGTACTCCATAGACTTAGTCGTAAGTTAGCAAGTCCCATGTGCCTGTAATTTTACCAGCACTCTTACCCTTCCAAACCGGAACGCAGTAATGCTCACATTACTGCTTGGCGACAGAAATAGGCAATACGTCGAATATGATGAACTCTTGCAATAGGAGCTCTACGCTCCTTTACTAATAAAGTTGGTAATTACAACGTTTTACGTACATACGTGTGTTGTATGTTAGTAAATGAATATGTGGGTTGCGAATGTGTGTGATGATCTCACCGTCGTCGTGGTGTAAACTAAACGTAGAGTGAAGACGCGGCTTGAAGAGGCTTACTTTTAACATTAATACTTTTTGCCTGCTTTTATTGCAACATATGGCATTTATCCGCACGTTCTCAAGATGAAATACTATGAGATAACCGATTGACGAAGTCATGAGGTGGATTATAAATTATAACACTTCAAGTGCCAGATATTTTTAGAAATGTATGTGAGTATGGGTTTCTTTGTATGAGGCCTGTAATATGATCTCTGAAGGAGGCACCGCCATCAACAGTGTTGTCTAGGTACTTAACGGTTAAATTGTATTACGTAGAAGTATCACCATAAAATGTTGTGTAGCTTAGAATATATTGTAGCAGTTTCTTAATTTCATTTGACGTAATTCGTTTATTACAACACAATAAAAGGGTAGGACATAAAATACTACCTTAAGCAACTCCGTTGTTAAAGTCAGCCTCCTGATTCAGGCCAAGGTCAAACTGTACCCGTTAAGTTCTATCTGATAGGCAAATCCGTATAAAAAGAAAGTTGGTTCCACTTACATCCATCACTTCATGTTTATCAACTAGTATGGGAAAAGGGATCATGTCGAACGCTTTAACTAAATCCAAGAATATTGTTAAACATTCTTTTTTACCTAACCTAATTACTGAATTATAAAGTTATTACCTAATTACTGAATTATAAAGTCAATGAAACAATGTACTCCGGGTAACGTAATGTAATAATATATAATGCACGCACTGACTGATAGCCCCGCACTAGGGAAACCCTGTCATGGCCATGATGGCCATGGCCACGCACATAAACAATCACAAATCACACCTAAACTCAAGAGATATAAATGTAGGCCACACAAGTATTTCTCCCGGCCCGGGAATCGAACCCGGGACCTCTTCGTGCCAGTCCAGCTTAGTGACCGTTCGGCCACGGAGGCAGTTCACAGGTATCATTAAATTATTTCCAAATACACAATAATTGTGAAGGTATGTACAATAAAATCATAGTTTGTACAATTATTATCATGGACTCTAGTTAGAACTTTGTAAGTTTATACCTATAATTATAGGTTGTTGTAACATTGTTCAAAGTTAAACTACGCTGGACGCAGTTGGAGTGTGGCAGAGTTGAAGCATTGTGCATGCCACAGAATAGCATTATTAACCAGTTCACAACTTTAACAAACTCAAAATAGGGGACAGAACTTTCAAAGTGTAACTCACACGAATTATTACGTTGCTAGTTTTTATCGGCCAATATCTTCAGTCACGAAGGATTAACCACAGCGAGGTCTAAATAGTGTAGACTTCGCGTTGATATGGACTCTTGCTGGAAAAAAAAACATCGATTGTTAGTTCACAAGGACTAATCGTGAGAGGTGTTACTAGGTAATCTACGCTTTGGCTAGTCTTCTTTTTGGAACACCAATATTCGGCAATAGATATTTTTGTATAGATATAAGTCAATGCAAACGTAAGACTTGAGTCACCCCACTGAGAGAAAGAAAGACCCCACTTCCATAAATACCTACTGAAACTTTATAGCGATTTGCATGAAATCGTCAGAACAATCCATTGGCACGTTGCAGTCAAACTATCGTTTGTTTTTTTTATTCAGTTCCTTTGCTGTTTGGGTTTGTTTTCTAATATTCACGTTTTTGTAATTCCGATTTATGGTAGTAATCTCCTAGTTAGTCACAAACATGCATTCCTTGTTAGGTGAGTTTCAACAACTGACTAACATTTACATAACAATCTTTGATAAATCACATAATATTATCTTTACTTTGTAGAAATTACTTCTGAATTCGTTTTTGTTTGTTCGCGATTAACTTTAACTATGCTAACTACATATTGTATGTTATTATTGATAGGATACATGTGTTAACGATGTACAGAAATTACCCTTGCTCTTACTGGAAATTTATATTGACCGGCACGTAAGACATTCCTAATTAAATTGGTCCCCATTTAATGACTGGAAATCTGTTGATGTCATATCCTTAGACATTTATTTGTCAATTTCCAGATTCAGAGCATGAGTCGCAGAAATATGCCATTTACTGTGAGATGCTCAGTACGATGACGATAATGGTTGAAAGCCACGATGGTTTTCTTGCACCGACAGTACAGATTGTCAATGTTTGTGTTGTTCTTGACCATAGGTAAGACCATGAATATGAAAGAAAAGCTGGTATGTACATTTTAAAAAGGTCAGAATTCTTTAGTTGCTTTCCCAGAACATCATAATTATTATCTCTGAAAGCACACAAGAAGAACTCGTAAGATGTGTAGGATTTCACGAATGCGAGAATGTTGGTATTTCTTACAGTCCTGAATAATACGTTTTCCCTACACCTTTTTCATAGAATGTATAATATCCCTGCAACTCCTGGATCTTGTGGTGCCGTCATACGTGCCGTTAGGCACACGCGCGCAGCTGTCGTGTCGCTGGGCTTTGGGCCCCGCGGACATACTGTACTCCGTCAAGTGGTACAAGGACGGCCGGGAGTTCTTTCGCCATGTGCCGCGCGACCTCGAGTCGTTCAGGAAGTTCCAGCTGCCAGGAGTCGACGTCGAGGTGAGATATTAGAACGGTAGTTAATCACGTGACCGTTGCGATATTATTAAAGTGCCTTAGTAAGATAGATTGGAGGATAGGGTTGGTTACTAAATCGATCAATAGGTGCAAAGTAGTAGATTCTTTCACATACATTTTTTTTATGATACGGCGGGACGAACAAGTCGTGCGCCTGGTGGTAAACGACACGTCTGTCCATAACAATTGCAGTGCCACGCAGAGCTTTAAACCGCAAAGATCTGAACGGCACTGCCATTGCGCCCGTCACCCTAATACTAAGTTAACAAGTCCCATTGGTAATTTCATCAGCACCCTTCAAAACTTTAACGCAAAAAGTAATAGGTAAGGTGTCCGTACTTCCCTGGACGAACTCTATCACAAAGAGCTCTACTGTTACTAAATTCACGATACAGTAGGTACAATTTACGATAAGTGCATATAAGAATACAACAAAAATTGTAGGTATGTATCACGTACATATTGAACAAGGTTTGCAAACTCTTGAAAAATGTAAAACATACGCTTTTGGGTTTATAGGTAAGCTGAACTGGGACGCAAAGGGGGTTTACTAGTTTCCCAGTATATTTTCTGTAACAGGTTTCAGACGAATCAGGATCAAACCTAACGTTAACCCCAGCGGTGCCGGCCACAGAAGGGCGATACCGGTGCGAGGTGTCTGGGGAAGGGCCCCTCTTCCCGACGGTATCGGATCACGCTGACTTGAATGTAATTGGTAAGTTAAGTATACCTATGAAACGTATAAAGAGTGTTGTTCTTGTTTATTTGGTTTTTTCGGCCATTATCAACAGCCGACGGTGTCCTACTACCATTAGTTGAAAGTTAAGTACGCCTTCAATTTCCAGTAGGTGCGTGCATATTTAAAAAGTTCTGTAACCGGTTTTTAGCTTAGGAATGAAAATAATTTTCTCGTGAAATAGCATCCCTTTTATTTACTTTACGCCAACATAAAGACTTGAACAAAAGAGCGAAGTTGAATCCCTTCTGATTTCACAGTGCGCTAGCTCGCAAGACATTAATTTGCATACACTTTCAAAGCTTTTAGAATATTCGTTACTAGCTACAAACTATATTTCCCTTAGGAATTAGTATCTGTTTCACTACCCTACCGCTCCTGTATATTTACTTGAACGTGACTCACATTACAAGTGAGCAACACGACGGCGATGTATCTAGGAGCCTAATCTATATATAGGCTGCATTACACCCCCGACAAATAAGAATTACATTGTCGATAAAAGTAGGTAGTTATTGAAAATTAATAGATTCTGGCGTTACCTACTTTGCGGAAATCTATGTTAATAAAAATGGAAGTCTTAGGGTCGTATTCTAGAACTCTACTCAATGCTCAAGTCAGGACTTGAGTATGATTCAAAGCACTAGAAATCATACTCAAGTCCTTGCCATCAGAGTCGTATTTCCAGTGCTTGAAATCATACTCAGATCCTTACTTGAGCATTGAGTAGAGTTCTGGAATACGACCCTAAGGATCATGATCGAAGAAGGAAGTAAATTAATTAGCTATTCCGCGAAACCAGCGAAGGTTAAGTCGTGCAAAAGTCGCGTTGTGTATTTTTTCATACAGTTAATTTTTCCATTTTTTCTCCGCATAAATTTTATAAAATATATGTATATAAGCGCAGCTAACTATAGTCATAAATACCTATAAATAATGATAATAGTAGTTTTTGTTACTGTAGTTGCGCTTGTGTTATATATTTTATTAATATTTATGCGGAGGGAAGCTGGGAAAATTAAGGTAATGAAAAAAAATCAATACAAGCGCTGCTAATTTGCACGTTTTAACCGTCACTATTAGGTTCGCGGAGTAGCAAATTAATTTCATTTCCATTTTTACTTACTGGAACACCGAGCATGATATGCCATGAGTGCATTTAAATACTTATCTATGATTTAAAAACAAAATTGTACCTATATTAACATTATGCAGATTAAAGACTCCTTACTTTTTCATTATTTTTTCTTTTTCACAATTGTACACATTTGTGGATTTTTGGTATTTAATTTTGTTCATAATTTGGTATGTTAGAATGAAATATTTTTGTCTCAGCATCAGCGTTTGGCTTTGATTATCTCTGTCACGGATCAAAATCCAAAATTTGGGCTTCGTTGCGACCTGTACAATTGCAGATGTTTTATGGTACATTTAAAATTTCATGCATAGATATATACTTAGTTTATGGACCGATTAACACCTTGATTTCAAAGACTGTGTAATTTGAGTGAATGCCAAGAAAGCTTCGCTTGTTGCTCTTCGCTTATTATACTATACCTATGACTAATGTTACATAAATACTGGTTGATCTATATTTCACATTTTCATTGTAAATGTTTTCTGTAAACTAATAAATGCTTAAATTACGTTAATATTACTTTATTTCCACTAAAAACAATTATTTTTTCTAGTATTACCTGACTACGGTCCTATTATAACCGGATTCTACCCCCGGTACCGACTCGGCGAACGTGTTCGGGTCACCTGTACTTCAGGCCCATCCAGACCAGAGACCACCCTTGCCTGGTACATTAATGGAAAACCAGCGCCTTCCTCTGCCATTACCCATTTCGACGAAAAGTATGAAGACCTACAGGTTACGAAGATGGTGCTCGATTTTATAGTAACTGAAGAGTATTTTAGGAGTAACGGATTCAAAGTAAAAGTAAGTTACCACAACCATGGTCACCATAGAAATAAATTGAATAATTTGACTTTTGACGGGCTATTTTGAGTTGTTACCAAAACACTACTACGCAGTTTTTTTTATTGTCGAAAAATCCGATCACACTATTTTTTGCAGTGTCTTGCTACACTACCGCCAATTTACTGGAGAAGCAATGAAGAAAGTGCAGTGCGTGAGAAGAAAGTATACGACAAATTCATAAGAATCAAAGAAGAAAGGGGTTCAAAAGCAGATCGTGTACTTTCTAAGGCGATAATATGCAATAGCTTATGGCAAAACGTAGTTATAGTGTCGATTTTGTGTTTTAAACTATGCTAATAACATTGTAATTAGATAAAATTAAAATGCTTACATAAAAATTATCAAAATATTTTATTTGGTTTTCACCAACGATATCTAGTTTTGACGTATTAATGGCGTAGAGAAGTACCTAGAAAGAGAAAATATTTTAATTAAATAAAAAACACTTTATTGATAGACCTCTATTTCAGCAAACGTAAGTGCATTGACATTGTTACGTTTACATATAATAAAATATTGAAAGGAAAGCAAAATAAATTGCTAAATAAGCCAAAGTTAAAACACATCCAGGTAACAGACATTGTTGTTTCTATAGCGGTTCCCTACTTAAGATAGAATGTTATTTGATCGAACATTAATAGCTCGAAAATGTTGGCTCGATTTCACCAATGAATCATGAGCTCTAAGGTTTGCCACATCGATGCATTAAAATCTCGAAAGAACATTTGCTCTAACGATCAACAGCCAAAAAGCGATTTCTCTGAAAATTTAGTTACCTACGGCTATAATTGTAAGTCAATGCCTACGGCGTATTTTGTATTTTTTTAAATTTCAGGGTGTGAACGAGCAGGTTGTTGATCGTTAGAGCAAATGTTCTTTCGAGGTTTTGATGTATCGATGTGGCAAACCTTAGAGCTCATGATTCATAGGTCGAATGGACAATCGAGTCAACGTTTTGGTGCAATTAATATTCGATCAAACGGCATTCTATCTCAAGTAGGAAACCCGATTATATAGTATAAAAAGAGTGGCAGATTGTTTTTGAAATCACAATTTTGAATTAAAGAGACAAAAAAAAACAGAAAACCGGGTCTGTAGAATGTTTTAAAACCATAGATTTAGTATATAGGTTTAAAACCATGCAAATTCTGACACATAGCTACTTACAATCTTTAGATTTTAGACAATTTTTTTCCAGCCTCTAAGGTATAAGACCATACTGGCCAAATCACCGTTATTTTATTTTTAAAAAGTCAATCAGTCACTAATTTTGTCAAAAATTACATACAAACAATGCAACCACAATATTAGCAAAAAATATTAATTTAGTTTTATAATTATTAAGCATTACTTTACTTTTGAAGTTCGTATTTATTGAAAAACTAAATTGATTTGTGAATATTTAAAAAAATACTGCATACCAATATGATGTATGAAGTTACAGAACATCCTCCCAAAGTAGAAATATCTAGCCCTTTTTTTGAGTTTAGAGGTAAGCTATTAGCATTATACTAAAACGTTAAAAAAATATATCCTCTAGGTTTAGTGATAATTGAATTTTGACGCCTACCAAGAAAGGAAAGGCAATTAGATTTTATTACAATTGTATTTAATTTTTACTACATACTTGTTAAGAAATACGATAAAATAGTGTGGTGAATTTGAAAGATTCATGATTATTTGAAAGTTGGAGCTATTATGCAAGAGTACTTCGATGAAACAAGGATGAAACTATGAAAACTGAAGAGGTGTCGAGGAATTTAATAAGAATTCAAAAATACGCGCCTTTACTTTCAAAGTGTCAAAACGTGTGCGTTCAATACCTAGTTAATTTTAGAGCCAAGTTAATGTGAGCCTAATTTAAACAATATAATTATAAAAGTATTGTTACGTTTATAAATACATAATAAATAAATAATTAAAAAATTAGGTAAGCATTATAGAAAATACTATGCAAAGCTCGCGAAACAGTTATAACAAAATTGCACTAATTTCAAGTTACATATTCCGTTTCTGAAGGCACACGCGCGGTGCAAATGTGAAACCAACGAGTGGTGTTCTCATGTTCTCTGTACCGCTGTACCTATGTTGATTTTGTTGCGCAAAAAGTTGCGTATTGTTAATTTTAATCGCGTTCCATAATGTTAATGCTGCATTAGATAACTCCGCACCTGTACAACCAACATAATGTCCAATAGGCCTCATGTTAAGTCTAGAATTAAAGTGTGCAAACCTGTGTTCCATCTTCAAGATAAAAAGGAAGATGATAGTGTTTTGACGAAGGGGTTGATCAAGTCGGCGAAGAGGACCGGCCAGCTCAGCTTATGCAACAGAGGTCTTGGGACAGGTATGTGATTTATGATATTTACTGTTTCGTCATAAATACCGTGAAGGTCAGATTAGTTATATGTCATGGATATGGAGTCTGTATATTATTTTGATACAATCGTGAGTTGTGATGGTCCCGCCGAAATCATATCTTTATTCTATATTTAAATCATATAGGCAATGGTGGAAAAATTGCGACCTACGATTTCCTAGCGTATGTTCAGAATCTTTTTACGTACATTCTTCATGCTTCCTGAAAATCTTGTAGGCAATTAAAATGAAATTTAACATTCTTTGAAATTGTTAGTCGCCAATTAACGGTTTATAAAATACACTTTTCTAATCACACTCACTGATAAAAAACAAAGTATTGATATTTTAAAATATATGCTTAATGCCTTTGCACTAAGGTTCATTTTTCGGTAGTTCAGTTCCAATACATTGAATTTCACGCCAGTGTTTATGACTTGTTCATTGTGTAATTCAAACGTTGCCTTGCCTTTGGGGTTTTATTGTATTTATAGTAGAGTCCATATTTGCTCCACAATTTAATAAACATACATATAATATGTTACATTGAAACTTGCACCTTTACAGTCGACTCACTGTAAACTTTGCATGGTACCCACTTGCCTGACTGAAACTTGTAGGTACATGTAAAGTTATACATGTGTAAAATCATACATTGACAAATGATGATATATGTATGTTATGTTATAAATAAAGCAATTTATTAAATATAATAAATATTAAATATAAAAATGCAATTCCAAAACTGAAAAGGTATCTATCTACCTCTGTCAGATTCTTCAATATCCAATAAAGTGGAAAAAAAATCAAATTTTAAAAGCCCAAAATCCTTTATTAACAAGGAGCTATAATCTCCAAGTATTTTGCAGTTCCAGAAAATGTATGGTTGATCGACCAGCTTGTCATGGAGGAGAGCAAAGAGGTGGACTTTTCAAAAACAAACAGCAACAACTGGTGGAACACGGAACTTCTCAAGGGCCTCGATCTGTCATCAAACGTGATAAAAACACTGTCACCCAATATCAAGTTTCTTTCTGAACTGGTTACACTCAAGGTGAGGAAGTGTGGTAAAAAACGTTTAAATGAAATAAGTTTGTGTATGGTACATTTTTATATCTTTTTACTGTAGTAAAATATGAATCTTTGTAACTCTTATGACTATGGAAAACGAAACTATTTTTCCGGATTTAAATAGTGTATATTTGTTTTTTCAAACAAACCGACGTTTCGGGCTATTTACAGGTCCCATGGTCACAGTTGACGGAGGTGATGCAGTCTTCAACCAATTATGTCTAATATTGATGCAAACCACCCTATTTTTTCACTATATTTACAATAGTTATTAATTAAATACCTTATTTTTAAATGATGTTCTGATGGTCGCAGTAATGAGGGGCCGTATAGGCCCTGAATTGAGCCACCCTAATAATAGATAAAGAAGTCTGACATTACTCAATAAAACAAAACGAAATCAAATATTAACTGACTCCATTACTAAATATTTTATTGTAACCATTATTTCCTAGCCAAATATCCAACATTGTGTATATGTATAAGAACGTTTAAGGTCAATTAAAAAAGTAAGCAAGTATTGTCAAGGTTCCTGTATGGACACTAGTGGAAGTACAATTAAAATTTATAAAAACATTACAAGGTAATGTTGAACCAAGGGGTTCAAGGTCAATTTGCTCCATGACAGGCATGTCTCGTAAAGTGACCTGTAAAGTGGTAATGATTATGTCATCCACTTACTATTTGCTGTTTTGTGTTTATTACCAAGTATAATTTTACTTACGATCTTAAAATAGTGCACATAATATTCTTTTTTGGTGCACATATTATTCTTTGTAATATAAACCATAATTTTAAAGTCTAAACAACATGTAAATCAAGCAGTATTTTGTCTGTATAACGCACCATCGTCGTCAATAACCGGTAGTTTATTTTGTTTTACAGGTTTTGTTGGGTGCATGTGGACTATAGTTAGACATTTTAATAATAAATAAGCTATTTGTACAGTCACCAGCACATCAAGCTATGCGCTTTTGTTTGAATATTGCCTTCAATGGAAAGGAACAAGATCCGTCATTGTGTTGCTTGATGTGCTGCCATCTGTACTTGTTTAATCTATTTATTGTATTTGTACGGCTACAAGAAGAACTTGGCATAATCACAAGCTAGTTTGTTAGCGAATTTTAAAAATTATTCAAATTTCAAATTCAAATTCAAAATAATCTTTATTTCATAGGTAAGCATTATTACACTTGAAATCGTCACAATGGCTAAACTCTACCGCTCATTCGTAAGGCAGATTCCCCTGAGAAGAAAGGTCAAGAAACTCTAGGGGTTGCTCTTTGTAAATAACATTTGTACACATTCAACAACAACAAAACATTTACAATATATATTTTTTTTATTTGAAACATCAGAGATCGAGACTACCTCCATGAGCTAAACGGGTTACTACCATGGATTTTTGTCATCCAAGTACGCAGAAGTTGTATGATGTAGAAGTTGTTGTTTTAAACGTCGTGAAAGACAAATTTTGTATATCAACTGGAATCTTGTTATAGAAGCGCATACATTGCCCCTTAAATGATTTTTTGACTTTGTGAAGACGACTATCAAGAAAAGCCAGTTTATTTTTATTCCTCGTATTAATGTTATGTCTGTCACTATTTTTCATAAAGAAATTACTATTCCTTTTAACATAAATTACATTTTCATAAATGTACTGTGAGGCTAGTGTAAGAATGTTAATTGCCTTAAACTTATCTCTCAAAGATACTTTGGGGCCCAGATTGTAAATTGCCCTAACTGCATGTTTCTGCAGGACAAAGATTCTATTGATATCGGCGGCATTACCCCAAAGCAAAATGCCGTATGTCATTAGACTGTGAAAGTAGCTGAAGTAAACCAAGCTAGCGGTTTCGACGTCTGAAAGTTTCCTTATTTTTTAATCGCGCACTGCAGAGCCGAGCCGTTTTGATAACTTACTTATGCAATTTAGCATCTAACGTTATACCTAGAAATACAACAGTATCCACAAGATTCAATTTTTCGTTTCTATTATATATAGGAATATAATAATATTTAAAAATTGTAATATAATATATTTTTTTAATTCCTTGTTCCTTTTGCATCAGCACATTGTTGACATTGTCCATATTCTCATATTGTAAAGGAGATTCAGCGAGTATATAAATTATTTTGCAGCTTCACGACAACGCGCTCACGGCACTCCCTCCTGAAATCGGCCACCTGAAGCATCTGTCCAATTTAAGTTTGGACCACAACAAGTTGACCAAACTGCCCAAGGAGTTCTACAACCTGACCGAGCTAAGATGGCTCAGCTTGTCTCATAATCTGCTAGTCAAAATTGAACCTGACTTTGGTGATATCGTCATGCTGACGTATTTGGTAAGAATTTATACGAGTCTTTTTATTAACACTGCTCTTAAGACCTGGAACGATTGCATTAAACTATAATCTTGTAATCTGAAACTGTCTAAATTTATTAAATACTCAAGAATGCGGATTAAAAAGCTTTGTTTCTACTCCTGTAATTTAAAGTGTCAATTATAATTTCATAAACCATATTACAAAGACTCTTTTTAGTTCTGAGTCTAAATTCTATTGTCTATGGTACTTGATACTGAACTGAAAAAATTCATTATAATTCTGTACACAGAACTGTAAAGAGTTTCGAAAAAAAAGTATGTCGTGTTTTTGCTGAATCCTGATTGGTTAAAGTACTTAACCAATCACGAATACTTGTATTCTATCTCTTTGGTTTTTTATTTTGTAGCATTTGTTTGGCTTTAGTTTGAGTTTGTTGTCGTGACTTGTTAATAATAATCTTTAAATATTGTTTGTCTTTCATTATATTAATGTAATATATTTTAATTTAAACTATTGTATGCAGTAATTACATAATTAGCTCTTAAAATTTCGTACCTATTACTTAGGCTACTCGACAAAACCTCCTTGCTTAAACAAGTTAGGTACTCGACTTTAATGACCATCAGATTACACAAAATAATATTGTATACGTTAGGCATTAAATTGCTACAACAAAGAGAGGATATTTAAAGAAAGCAAGCATTTAATTTTATTGTCCGATTCTCAGTACTAAATTAAAAGATAAAGTTTCGAACAGTACAATAACAATAAGATTATCGCAAAAAACAACCTATATTATACTAAGTTTTATTTGGAGAGAAAGTACATTTGTGTAAATCACTACGAAACAGTTCATACGTTCCGTTCCATCCCTAGAGATTCTATTATCTCGAAACCTTTCACTTATTGGAATCAATTTGCTGTATTAAAATGCATGTGGTTCTTTATTAACGAAAATGATGATTTTATTTATTTATTATGGCTTATTAACCGTTGTTACATCTATTACATTTGATTTGATGATTAGATGCACAACTACTGCAGATGGAACACAACTTACGTTAGGCTGAATCATCTTAATCTTTTAAAGGTTCATAAAAACAAAAGAGAAAAAAAAACATAATAAAATATACTACAAAGTAGGTATTAGTCAACTTTGGTTCAATTTACGTCGTCGCGGAACGGAATGGAAGCTATTTTTACCAATACATTCCGCAGCGATTTAAATTGAGCCTTGTTTGCCTTGTGGAAATTGGTTATCGAATCTGAGGACATAATATTAACTGTTACACTATGCTCATTGTGTAATCTTGACAGACGGGATACTCGTGAATTGAGTTCCTACTATGGGGGTATTTACAGGGAATGGTAAACATAAACTTTACTATCAATTTTGTTATAAAGAGCCAGGTTCCAAATTATAAAGACTTTCTGATAATTATTTTTAATTATTGGTAATTATGATGATAATAAAATTGTCCTTAAGTATACCAAATAATTTTCAATGCAGATTCAGTTTTGTTTATTTAATTTTTGTCAAAAAATTACAAACAGTGAGAAAACAAATAAACACGCGATATCTTTGGAAAAACGATTCGTTTTTGTGATTTTTTTTGAGATAAACATTTGACATGCTGGTATGTCTCTGATACAAGCGCATGTCACGATATTGCTAGCGGTAGCATTTTTTTAATCCGAATTAATTTTGTACATAACATTGTTTATTAAGATAATTATTACCTATTCTTTACTACACTGCACTTCATTGATTTTTTTAACCGACTTCAAAGAAGGAGGAGGTTCTCAATTCGACTGTATGCTTTTTTTTTGGTGTATGTATGTTACGCGATAACTCCGGTATTTGTGAACCGACTTTCATGATTCTTTTTTGTGGGAAAGGGGGTACTTCCATAGTGGTCCCATTTCATTTTGAAGAAAATCATCCACCTCTAAGGGTGGCTGTTCACGCATGAAGATTCATTTTTATAAATAGCGCCTAAACTTTAATTTAGAAGCAATTATTTTAATGGTTGATTTTGCTATTTCTCCAATTCAAGGCGTTTTTCTCATGTACTTTGAGTAGTGAAAACCGATTTTTATTATCTCCAGTGTCAAGTCCTGTATAGTGGCGAACTAGGGGATATTTCAATAAAACTTACGTCTATTTGACGTAATTCCACGTACTTTTGAGGTCGGTTTTTTTAGTACTCTGTACTGAGATTATTATCAGATTATTATATCACTTCCAGCCCTGTTAAAAAGTTTGTGTTAGAAAGTTAGATCCAGAAGATTCTGTAATTTTCAAGTGAAACCAATTTGTGAATGACATAAAAGAACGCAATACTTGCTCCAGGATCTATCTCACAACAAAATCCAGAAGCTACCACCAGGGATGGGCTATCTGATCAGACTGATTGAGCTCAACCTATCGCATAATGAACTGGTCGAATTGCCGCCGGACATCGTCAATTTGAGAGGTACAACATACCATTAGCATTATTGTTTTTACACAAATCACACTAAACACTTAAAGGCTCGTATTATTATAAAAGACTTCCTCTAAATTCGGCATATAAGAGTGAATCGGCTGAGTTCAAAATGTCGACACAACTGTCTTTCTTTTTTTCTCTTCACAGTTCTACACACTTGATACTCGAACTAAAATGTTGTAAAAAGCAAAGCATACGACATGATGGTTTGTAAAAAACATGTACTAAATTTTTATACAGAAAATAATTAAAATGATTTATAAGAAATTCTTAATAATAAGTATTTTATTTATATTCTTAATGGTAGTATGTGGCTGAATTGCAATTAAATTTCTGTTTAGATAACATTTTATGTGAATGTTTTAATTTGGAAGTAACCTCCTTGCTTGAACTTGAACCTGACCTATGTAAGGAAGTATATCGTGCTACAAATAACATACGGACCATGTCTGTAATGGGAGGAAAAAAGGTACGGGGGTTTTGTTTGGAACATTATAGTCAAGTTAGCCACCATACAATCATATTTACGAGCAAGTGTGATGAAAAAACAATTGTGACACCTACAAAAGCAAAGTTTCAGGGGTATAAATATTCGTTTTTACAACTTGCTACTAAATTGAACAGAAACTTTTTTAAAATTTGTTACATAGTATCAAACCACTTTATTACTTGATGACACTTCTAGCGTTTCCTCATACATCTATTCACATTCGTATTTGTTTGTGTTGTTAGATTTGAAGAAATTGAACATCAACAATAACAATTTAACGAAGCTACCGCCGATGGGCGAACTCCGCAAGATGGAGTATCTCGACGCTAATCATAATGAGATCTACGAGATGCCGGATTTCTTCGGTTGCACCGCTCTTAAGGAAATTTATTTGGCTAATAACAATATTAAGGTTAATAATATTGATTATTATTCTTGTTCGTTAGTAGCAATTAGCATTAGTAGCAGTAGAGCTCCTTGTGAAAGAGTTCGTCCAGGGAAGTACTGCCACCTTACCTATTTCTGCCGCCAAGCAGTAATGTCGGCATTAAGCCGCGTTTATATTTGTCTGACGTGACTTGTCGTGATGCGCTCTGACGTCACGGCTAGCGCTCACATCTACCGTCGTGGCTCTCGGAGAATTCATACGTTCGGAATGCTCTTGAATTATCCGATTCTGATTATGAAGAAGATATTTAATTTGTGATGATGGCAACTATACTAAGAAAAGAACATATTGGGTTCATTCAGTGAATAAAATAAGAGATACTGGCGAGCTTCATTGTGTCGTTAAAGAGCTTGAGAGCGATGACGAAAGATTTCATGGATATATTCTGCTCTGACGCGGCACAACACTGTACTAACGCGTGCATACTTGTCTGATCTGACATCATGACGCGGCGCTCACCCGTCCTACGTAGATCGGGATCGTTTCTGATGCGACACAACACAAGCCGTCACGTCAGATTGCGACACACTACTATAAAACGACACGACACGTCACACAAATGTAAATCCGGCTTTGTTGTTCTCCAGTTTTGAAGAGTAAGGCTGCTGGTAAAATTACAGGCACATGGGACTTGTCAACTTATATCTCAGGGTGACGGATACAGTGGCAGTGCCCCTGATACCTTTGCGATGTAAAGCTCAGTGGCACTGCAAGTGTTATGGATAGGCGTCTCGCTTACCACCAGGTGCACGACTTGTTCGTCCCGTCACTTAGGGTCGTATTCTAGAACTCTATTCTAATGCTTAAGTCAGGATTGCACTGGCAACATAAGCACTGGAAATACGACCCTCATGGCAGGGACTTGAGTATGATATCAAGTGCTTTAAACCATACTCAAATCCTGACTTGAGCATTGAGTAGAGTTCTGGAATACGACCCTTAGTATTATAAAATCATGTAATTAGTAACGTTTTTAACATTCATTTATTCAATTATTCAATTATTGTACAAACATATAGTTAACAGAGTATATCTAGACGCAACAGTTGTAAAAGTCAAAATACTACAAAATAAAAAAAAAATGTCAAAGAAGATGTAATAGTACATTAATCACAAATAGTAACAAAAATTCATGTCAAGGCAATACAGAAATTAATAAAGTAAAATGTAAAACAAAAAAACGTCAAATTAAAAAAAAATAATTTATTTTTTTTACATTATCACGGAGAGTGTGCGATTCCATCATTGGGGGCGTAGACGGTGGCTGGGGTTCGCAGGAAGCGTTACGGTTCCACATTTATATGGCGAACGCTATGGACTGAAATTCCCTGTCTGCGGATTTATTCCCTTTTCAAGGCGAGAGTGCAAGGGCATTATTTCTGCCGTCCACTAAACAAAACGCGGCTAAGTGATAAATGGTCAAATATCCGTTTTATATAGAAAGAAATAGAGCACAAAATTCTCTTTCAAAAACAGTTCAAGTGTTCGACTTATCGGAACCTACCCCCAACGATGCATAGCCGAAATATCATTAAACAATTTTAATATTCTAAAACTGGGTTATGGTTTTTTATGATATCTCAAAAATGCATGAATGCTCCATCATCGACCTCGTCGTCACACCATCAGGTGAGATGGAGTTCAAATGAGCATTTATATTTTTATACATTGACTTACAAATAAACGGACGACGGGTCTAATACAAAAACCACGAAAAAATGTCCCAAGTCAACCTATTTAAACATGTAAAGGTATATGAAAAAGCTAAAACGTTGAATTTAAATTGTTACTGTCTAATTTTGCTTGCTTCGCTGTCAGTCGAACAAACGAAGACTAAAGCGTGAATGACGCTCTGTAAACGATTTTAACGCCCTATAAGTTCGGACACTTTTTAGCACGGACCCGACGTCCATATAATTCTAAGTCAATGTTTTTATATATAAAAAAAGTATTATAATAATTTATAAACTATAAACTGTGAGACTTTCTTGGTGGTATGGTCGGATATAGAATGATTTGTTAAAACTTATTCCTTTCTGTTATCTCATAAAATTTCTCATAGGCAAATATATGCCTACCAAACTTTTCTAATTTTGAGCGAAGGAAATCAGTATTGCGCTTTTATCATTGTTGGGTAATACACAGGAGATCACAGAAGAATTCTGCGAACAAATGCAGCACTTGAATGTATTGAACGTCCGCGACAACAAGATCGAGATCTTGCCAGAGAACGTTGCTCTACTTAAGAAACTGCAACGGCTGGACCTCACTAACAATAACTTGAACAAGTAAGTTTTAGCAAGATAACAAGAGTCTTAAAATAAACATTAAAAAAAATCGTGGCAAGTGTATAGAGAAGATTCCCTTTTCGTTTATTAAAGGTATCAGAAATATCTAGAATGTCAATTGTCTGGAACTTAGGCGTCAACCTAGGCTTAAGCGAATGGGATTCAAAATTTCAATTTTATTTAGGAAATGAAACTTATTTTTATTTTTCCGGACTTAAATCGCGTGTATTTGTTTTTTCAAAGAAACCGACGTTTCGGGCCCTTAACAAGTCCCATGGTCACGGTTGACTGAGGTGGTATAGTCATCAACCATTTATGTTTAATATTAATGTAAACCACCTTATATACATATATACAAAAGTTATTAATTAAATACCTTATTTTTAAATTAACAAGGAATATTCCAATTTACGCTACATATGTTTTACAATTATTATATTTTAACAAAATTATTTTTTTTATATTCAATTAAATTTATTATTAAAATATTTTATACATTATTTCTTTTCATTAAAAATATTTTTATAATATTCATTAATATTTGCTTAAAATTACAATTATCTATTATTATTATTTGATACTAAATTATTTAAGATCAAATTAATCAATATTATATTTTGTGTCTACTATTTAAGGTTTATAAGTTGTGTCTATTGTTATTTCACCCAAATAAATTACCAATATTGATTATACAATGCCATTTTTTTACAATATGCCGTAGAATAAAGTAAATGTAATTTTTTTTCTACGCTTTTGCAGGCTCCCCAGCAACCTAGGTCTTCTAACCCAATTGCAAAGCCTGAATATGGATGGCAACAAGCTGTCGTTCGTGCGGCAAGATGTACTCCGAGGTGGCACCGATCGCATGATGAAATACTTGAGGGACCGCATGACCGAGGAGATAGTCAACGAAACTAGATATACCGTCGACCAGTGGCCTGATAAGTGAGTAAGGCTTATTGGATTAAAGCGGAGCGGAGAATGGCTGCATTTTAGTAACCAATCATATTTTTCGTCACACTTGCATGTAAATAGTATGAGCAATCATGATAAAACCCCAAATAAAATCCTCGGGTGTTTTCTTCTCATAACACGACCACGGCTGTAATGAAAAGAAAAAAGGCCCGAGGGTCAAATTAGCTTGCATGCAATCATGCTATTTACTCGCAAATGTGATGAAAAACGGGAGTTACGAACCTCGACTTCGAAATAATAGTTCCTAATGAGTCTCCCTTGTAATTCCATATTTACCGCCCTTACCCTTAATACACAATGTACTAAGAAAGTTTTGTTACATCTTCTATGGTTTAGGATTTCCCCATACTGGCACCATTTCAAAAAAGCACTCGGTATATTCATTTTAGGGTCGAAAAAAGAACCTAAGAACTCGACATTGAAATTTATTTGATTCGGTCTCTTATAGTTAATGAATAAACACACTGTTTTATTTGTGAACCAATTTAATAAATTTTATAGCCGTTAATTTGATTTAATTTTTAATTTTAATCATAATTTGGCTTTTTGTGGCTTTTTTTTGTAAATTTAGCTTAAGGCATGTTTGAAATTCTTAAAATTAAAAACTTCAAATTTTTATAGTCTATAAGTCATCATTTTGGTCCAAATAAGAGCTTACCTATAATTGGAATAAACATAAGGACAATAATATTACATATCATATCTAGAATAATAAATAATATATGTGTAATTCTGCTGGTTTGCCAAATAAATACACCAATCACATGACAACGTCATTAAGCAGTGTACCTTACATAAACATCACATTAAATATGTAACTTGTTGCAGATACACACTGAAAAAAACCCAAGGTTTGATGTTACCTTGCAAAGACCTGACGGATGTCCCGGACTCTGTGTTCAGCGTCGCGGCGGATGCGGAAGTACACATTGTGGACCTGTCCAGGAACAAACTCAACGCCATGCCCTTGGGGTGAGTTGCAAATTTGTAACTAGTTAACAAAGAATATTTAAATAGTTTATATAGTATAATAAGTAGTAGAATTGAAACAGTCTATAATTGCCATAACAAGACTCTCTCTGCCAATTTATATAACTCGTTGACTTCCCTCGTTAAAGGAAAAGACAAAATGCTGCTACATCCGCAAACTTGTCTAAATTAGTCTCAAATAGTAGCTACATCAAATGTAAAAGAATCGTTTCAACACACTTAGAAAAAAATCCTTCGATCCGATTGGATTCAAACCAGACCGTAGTGCTATACGTTTTTAGTTTTTGCCGTAGGGCAAAAAGTCGTTAAAAACCAAAACCAAAGATCTGCAACAAGCACATAGAAAAATTCGTAAGGTACGCTAGTTTGTTCATTGGCTTAGTTGGCATAGCGTCTGACACGGTTTGCTGGAAGATGTTGGTTCGAATCCAGTCGGATCGAAGGAAGCGTTCGATCTTTGTGTTAATAATTATAACAAAGTAGTGGAGTAATTTCACAAAAACAATTTAATGTCATGATGGTCAAACATCGTGACGTTCAGTAACTTAAAAACTACAAGTACTTTAGTTATTTACTTTGGGATAAAAGCAACGTATTTGATCTTGTCTAATATTTATAAGAAAAAAATACTTGAATTCTATACTCTATTATTTTATCGAAGGATTTTTTTCTAAGTGTTCGGTCTTTGTATTAATAATTATAACCAACTAGTGGAGTAATTTCACAAAAAAAAATTAATATCATAGTTATAAAACATTCTGACGTTCAATAAAAAAAATCTATTTATTATTTCCAGAATCGTAAACCTAAACCAGACCCTGACTCAGTTGATCCTGGCATCGAATAATTTGTCGAGTATCCCGCCGGAGATCGGGCAATGCACACTCTTGCAATTCATGGACCTGAGTAAGAACTCATTGGCCGATCTGCCTAAGCAGCTGGAAGCGTTGCGGAATTTACGCGAGCTTGTTATTTCTAACAACAAGTTAGTATATGTTTTATATCGTATTACACGGCACAACTCATTAGGATATTGTAATAGAATTAGACGTTATGTTACTATAACGTCATGGAATTGACAGCATGTTGTGATAATGACTGGAATTAGGCGACACGACAAGTAACGATAATGTCTCGTGAATTTCTTGGAATGTCTTGGAATTAGATGTCCAATTCCTTGACATGACCAATTTAGTTTAAACAACAATTATTTCAAGTGCAAAGATTTTTTTAAGATATTCTTTACAAAAAAAAATCAGCTTTACTTGATATGCAAAATTATAATAATACAAACCACCAAAAACTGCAATAAAAAATTTATAATAAAGTATAAAAAATGTAAAATAAAATTCTAATTGTAATAATTAGGAAACAAAATAATGAAATAAAGCAAATGAAAAGAAACTCCCCCGTTATTATTCTGTCATAGCCCGTAATTAAATGGGACTCAACAAAATCTATCCTGGGTGAAAGAATTTAAAATAAGACTCATTTATTTTTATTTCATAAAAATGCTATAAATATCATTAACTATTTTTGTTGTAATAATTAGAATATTTAATTACAAAATTTGGCATTCCGTGAATTTTTTATCAGGTTTAACGACACGTTCTTAAAAAAATATAATTTAAAAAAGAGCGTAGTATTTGTCTGTTCCATCTTCCTAGATTATGAAATAACCCCGACGTGTCATCACAAGGGCGTTTTCAAATTGACGCGTGTAGAAGCGTTGCAGTTGCGGGTGGCATTGTATGAAAATTAGTAGTGACGCCACAAACGCGCTTCACCAAGCGTCCAATTTGAAGGCTTATTTAAGGGTTATTTTTTACCGTTCTGTGCAAAGGAACTATGAAATTAAAAAAAGAAAAACAAGTTTGCATGAATGTCCAGTAGTAAACGGTATGCTTACTTTCAGATTTCCAAAGATTCCACCCTGTGTGTACGAGCTTGAAAACCTCGAGATCCTTCTAGCTACGGAGAATAAAATCACAGAGATAAACGTTTCTTCAGATGCACTGTCCAGGCTGAAGAAACTCGCCGTGCTGGACTTATCCAATAACAGTATAGCGATAGTGCCACCGGAGCTCGGCAACTTTAAACATTTGAGGTGAGTTTTCCCTATTACTTTGGCAAATAGATTGTTCTAGCTAAGGATAAAAAATCTTTCTCCTATTTTAACGACATTCGAATTTAAAGTTAAAGAATTGTGTTGAAATGATAACAGTTATAACTAAAGATGTCTTATAATAAATTGTTTTATTATTTTGTACTAATTTTAATACAAAGTGCAACACTGCCAAAAATATGGTAGACAATTATAGAAACTTCTTTAAAATAGCAACACTGAGCCAGAAAGACATAATAATGATGCCATTGGACATACGTGGTTGGTTAGTTTATTGATCTTAAGGCGAATATTGCCACAAATCCTGTGATATATGTTTGAATGTCATTGTTAACAGAACTCTGGAGCTGATGGGGAACTGTTTCCGCAACCCGCGACACGCTATCCTCGCAAAAGGTACAGAGTCCGTTCTGTCGTACCTCCGCGACCGCATTCCTACTAACGACTAGTCTCGATCACATCTACAGTCACGTTAAAATCGAAGCAAAATGAGCAATAATACTTTGGGTAACGCTGCTAAAAAAATATATTTATTGGAAAATTTATCATTAGAGTTTTCATCAAAGTTTTTCAGTGTCATGGATCCTTGTATATTCCTTAAGTATTATTGCACCCTTTCGTTTCACCCTGTATAAAGTGCCTGTATTGTTATTTCGAACAGATCTGTGCTTACTGTGCAATTAAAGTGAAACATTCACTAGTCATTATAGTGCTTACTGGTTTAGGATTGGTGTTTTTGAATATGTTTTGGAGTTTGGGTAGCTTTGTAAAAGTACGTTTTCGATATTTGTCATTATCGTCTACTTTAGCACAAATGTAACTTACAATTTTGAAAAAAAAATCAATTCGATTTCGAACATTGACTTACAATTTCGAATTTAAATTTCTGTGTGGTAATGTTATATATACTCTGCGATAGGATTGGAAATTAAAAATGTAAACAAAGGTGATGTCATTACAAAAAAGAATTAGGAATCGTGCAAACGTGAAAAGGTTTAAAAATACATGATAGTTGATATTGTGCTTAAATTGTATACAAACAAAATATTATCAAAGTGTTATTTTTATTTAATAACATAAGCCCATAAAAACCTATTCTTCGTTTTCGCTGCTATTGGGATGAAAATTTATCATTTTATAAAAAAGTCGTCTTTTGTTCGACATGGATAAATGTTTTGACAAAAAACGATTGTATAGAGTTCTTTAACGTACAATGGAATTTTTCCATTATTACTCTTAATGCCAAAAGTGGAATCTGTTGATAAAGGAACCTGAAAAAAATCACGTTCTGTGAGATGTCACTTAGTTGTTTGTTTACATTTTTGATCTCGAATTTCCAACGGATCTCCGGCTATCCAACTGTACACAATCCATCGAGTATATAACCAGAAATAGAGATGAAATGTCATTTAATTTGTTTGAAAATTATTGTGCCATATCATTACTGTGACAACTGCGCTCCGGTTGGCCAGCCCGAGTTCGAAACAATTGACGGGTGTCGTCAACTGTTTCACTTCATCGACCAGTTAACTTTAGTTTTGCTATAATGGACGAAAATTGCAAAATTACATATTTAATTACCGATTAGATGTGATTCCGTTTATTTTGTAATTAGATGTTTTGCTGTTCCCGCACCACCGAATATAACAGCACGGCATTGTTAGATATCTTTATTACAATAAATACAGAATATTTTTTGGAATATACGGAGACGAATACACACAGGTCAGTGCTTGGCCTGTCTACATTTCAGTGCAAACGAGAGTTGATATTTATAAGAGCTGTATCGTTAAAGTGTTACCAGGAATATATGGTCCTTATTTCGTCTCTATTTCTGGTTATATAATCGATGACAGAATCACACCAAAGTAAGTGTTTTTTTTTTTCAACACTGGCATTCGGCAGAATCATCGTGGAAGTCGATGGAGCCATTATAAAGACATTGAAATTGGATCACGAATTCGATCTACGAGTATAAATAATTCGTTTTAGTTAAAATTGTGAGTTATGCCCATTAGTGTTGTCAGGGATGATAAATATACATGGTTATTTTTAATTAACTCGAAATCTTTTAACTTGGTATGCCTACATTAAAAGAACTTACGTTATATTCCACGAATGCGCACAATTTTTCGAATAGTTTTCTTCCATTTATATGCGAAGTTAACAAATTTTAAAATTGTCAAAAACCGTATCATAAGTTCTTTATTTTAATGGTAATTTAAGAGGTTTCGTGGCTATTGAACATAATTTTGTATAAGGTGTGTTTACACTTTTGCGTCTTCTCTTTAAACGTATTTTTGTGTTACATTTGCCGTTTGTTTTCTAAATAACTTGAATTGATTGAAAAATCCAAAACTGAATGTGCTTATGCCATAACCACCACGATACGTCAGTCTTTATCAGCAACTCATCATCATAATCATGACCACATGGCCACACTTGTCATCACATAACCGCAAAAATCACATACTACAATTACGAAATCTTTTACAAGGTTTCTGTAAAAACGGTTTCGAGACGGTTCACCAAGGAAAGTATCGTGATGAAACCTGCACGTCGAAGAAGGTTCACAATCTTCGGACAACGTGTGAAGTCCCCAGCCCACATTGGGCCAGCGTGGCGGAATATGGCCTTCGCTTGAGAGGAGACCCGTGCTCAGTAGTAGGACTTATAAATGGGTTGATAATGAATTAACGAATGCACCGCATGATAACGTTTTTTTGTAAAAACAACCTTATAAACGGCTACACGTTGCATTTGAAAGAACCTATTTACAGCCAGGAGTCGCATAGCAAAGCGAAAACGCTTAGGTGTAAACATTTACGCACAGTATTTGTAGGATAGGAGCACGGATTAAATTAATTTGCAGCTTGCAAATTTTGGAAACATGTTGCCATTCATACAGTTTTGCATAAACCAAATATTTATAGTCTGTACCTGACTTGCCACCTATTTTTCATTGTTATTGTTTAAACGACAGATAGATAGCGCTATACTTCCAAAAATCAGCTGCGTTATGTCTAGCCATATATTTGCCGAATTGCTGCTGAGCTTCGGTACATGTAGCTCAAGACTAATGCTCTAGTCTCCCTGTTATAGACTGAAAAAGTCGCATTTTAAAAAGACAAAGCTGAGTCGCTACGCGACAATGCTTAAATTATAAAGTCACGACTAGACAAATACAGACAAGAATAGGCGCCGTTGTGTGGAAGCTTTAAGGCGAAAAGCAAATTTTGATTTAAGTGGGAGCAATAATGTTATAAATAAATAATACTATCTATCTTTCGTAACTGTTGTTTGTTATTTTAAATATTTTTGCGATCATTTATTGTTAAACTTAATACGTACTCAAAATTACTTAAAGGTTGTGAATTGGTTACAATTTTTATTGGATTAACTTATTCCAAAAATCGTATTGCGTATTGCGTTACTTGTAAAGCTACTTGCCAAATATTGCAGAGAATTTAAACTCAGATATACTATTTTTGATGGCGTTTTTAATCGTATCATGTTCACATACATACCAGAATCATTTATTTTATTAGACTCGTCTAAATAAGTTGTTAAATGCATTAAACTATGTTATATAGTTATATGTATATCATATTAAAGTATTGTAATATAGGCTAAGTTCATTTACAAAATATTCAGACCGCAATCTGGGGGTCTACTCTCGATCTCCGTCTGACATCCGTCCGAAACAATTACTGCCAAATAAGCAATACTTGACCAAATGAAAAGACGCGTGATGCGAATGAAGCTTCATACTTGACACTTGTCTTTTAATTTTGTCGAATATTGCTTATTTGACGGTAATTGTTTCGGACGGATGTCGGACGGAGATCGAGAGTAGACCCCTGATCAAATTTTTGATGTTGCCAGACGCAGATGTGATATCAAATTTTTTACCTAACTATAGCACTACTATCGAGGTACATTCGGGCAATTTCTACCGGAAGTAAAAAATGTTCGTAATTCAAATAAACAAGACGGCTGTCGTACAAATTATTTGTTCAATGAAACTATTAGAAATAGCTGGGGAAATTTGACGACTCTCATAGAGCTCTACAAAAAAAATGACACGTAGACTTTCTACTACAATACCCGCTGGCAGATTGCGGTCGGTATATTTGGAACTTCCCAGAGCCTGCACTAAAATCGTATAATAATAAATTGTCATATTTATTTGGGATTATTTTAGGTATAATATAGTGACGTGTTGATTATATTATTGTAACTAAAAAAAAATGAATGAAACACGAAACAGTATTGAATGTTTAAAAACTTGTGATTGTCAAAGTGAGAGATGACCTCATTGTTTGTGATTTATAATTTATTTATTACGTTTTGTAGTATACAGTTAATTACATACTATTTTGTTTAATAAATAAAACCAGTTTAAATGAAATAACGCTCACTTTTAAGCGGCCTAACACATTCCTGTAACCTGCAGTAGTGTGAAAAAATTGCACAATTTATTAAAGAGTGCTTGTGTATTAGCACAAATAGCAAAAATACGTTTATGTGTAAAGATGATTATGGAAATACAGCTTTAAAATTGCGAATGTTTCTTTTAATTTTTTATCTACTTTATTTCCTTGTGCATAATGGTGTAATATTCTTTTGGGAGTGTTTCGTAACTTATAGAACTTGCTCAGATGTTCGATTTCGTAACACAACAGAAAACTATTTATTATTTACTTGTAAGAATTTTCTCTTCGACCTATTTCATGGCCCATTGGTCGAAACAAAGGACATCCGTGCAATAATAGTATTTTATTTTTGAATAAGCTGCTAAAATAGCACAATCCAGCTTTCTCAGTTTCGCTTTAAGGTAAATAAAATCTTAGTGCCGCTGCTGTACTTTCGCCGCAGGCAACTCGTGTCGATATTCATTCTCCCTGGACTTTGCGTTTTGTTGTTTTCAACTTTGTGTATTGTGTATTTTGGAATGAAAGGGGGATACGGCTATCATATAGTGAAACAGGATGAGGCAGTTGAACAACATGTGGTCTGGACTGCAAAGTAATACAATCAAAAGCACGTCATACTTGACACTGAATCATAAGCGCCAAGTTGAATTTAAAAGTGTCCAGTTTTCTTCTACTAATAATTTTTACAGAAGCACACCAAAGCAAATACTGTCCTAACTCAACATTGTGGAATTGAGAAAACACGATTTGAAAACAAAAAACTGAACGAAACCAATATTTTAACAGGGTTATTTGTAAAATACTAACCTCCCAGGACTATGTTATTAACATTATAAACAATAAATTTAAAATTGCCTCTGTGGCCGAACGGTTACCATGCGGGACTGCCACGCAGAGGTCCCTGGTTCCATTCCCGGGCCCGGAGAAATATTTGTATGGCCTACTTTTATTTCTCTCGTGAGTTTGGGTGTAATTTGTGGTTGTCTATGTGTGCGTCCATGGCACCCGCGACACAGGTTTCCCCTAGAGCGGGGCTATGTTGAGTGTGTGCGTTATTATTATTTAGTTCCGTGACTTTGACAAAACATGATAAATGTACTAAAAATTAAGTACTAAGTTTTTTTTGTACTATCAGACACTTTAGGTCTGTATTTGGTAGTAAGTTCAAACGTGCGAGCGTCCTCTCCGACGACTCCTGCGTTTTGCACAGTTTCACCGTTTAAATATGATTTATTTTCTATGAAAGTAAAATCTAACGAATTATTAAGTCATGAAACAAATAAAATATGTATAAGTAATGTACTTATTTATACATATACATGTATTCTAGTTTATAAATTTCTGATTAATTATTAAGAATAGATCACAATCACATTGTTCGCAAT